CTTTTTATATTTTCTTTTTATTGTATATAAAATTATTGTTTTGTTTTAATGAAATGAATAAAGAATTTAAATAATTTTATTATCTTTTTTCATCCTGATTATTTTTACTCTTCAGACAGCTCATACGTCAGAATGTCGGTGCTTTGATGGCTGATTTTTACCAAAGGAGGTTCAAAGTTACTTTTGGAGTTTCAGCTTTCTGTTTGACTCCTCTTCCTCCTCTTCCTCCTCTTCCTCCTCTTCCTCCTCAGATCTACCTGTTGGCACCAAAGAGCGCTCTGGGACGCTTCATTAAGAAGCCCTTCATCAAGTTCATCTGCCACACGGCGTCCTACCTGACCTTCCTCTTCCTCCTGCTGCTGGCCTCGCAGCACATCGCCCGCACCAACCTGCACATGCAGGGACCCCCGCCCACCATCGTGGAGTGGATGATTCTTCCCTGGGTGTTGGGTGAGTCAAAAAAATATTCTCTGTTCTTAAACTGTTCACTTTGACACTAAAACAGGTTCAACTTTCCATTTCTTCAATTTACAGGATATATTTTAGCATTTTACTCAAACATAAAAGGTCCAAATAAAAAGTACACACAATTCTTACTGGTAAAACTTGGCTTTAGGGAAAGATATGAAACAACTTCAAGGTTTAAAACACATTTATCCTGTGAAAGTATGAAAGGAACATTAACAAAATAAAATATGCTTTAATAATACTCCTAATTAAATGATTCAAATAACAAGATTTAAACATTTCTGTCCAACAAGCCTCCAGGCGGTCTCATCAATGAAACTTTTACAATAAAAAAACAAATTCTTACTTTTTTCTACCTGATTGCTGATCATCAAGAGATTCTTGTCCTCTTWTAAGTGTGTGGGTGTGTGTGTGTGGTTGGACGCCTGCGAGTGTGTGGAGGAGGCGGCTGCGTGTGAGTGGGTGGGTGGTTGTGAGAAATGAATGATTACATCTTCACCCTCTCTCTGACACCAATCATCTCTAAATCCTGAAGGCGGAAATAAAAATGGTGCCATTGTCGGATCATTTCCATCAATGCTCAAAACCCAAAGCAGCTCTGGGCCTGAAGTAGATATTTTACTGCTGCTGTCGTCACAAAACAGCAAGTTTTATATACAGAAATTACAATAAAAACGTCTTTTTTAATCATTGCTTTGAGGAGTTTATTAGGAAAATTATTTTTAACAATGAAAACAGTTTATAAGTGAAGAACCTGGTCTGTAAAACTAATGTCCACATCAATATTTGCACAATAAAGTGGTTTTTTTTTTTTGTAGAAACACTGGGCAATAGTTGATCGGGGAGAATTTTAGGTTGTTGAAATATTTAAAGACAAATTTGTTTGAGTGGATGTCCGGGTCAGTGAGCCCGCACAAACCCGCCAGAGGGACCGGTGTCAGACTTACAGGCTAACCAAGGCCACTTGTCCCAACGCAAACCCTGAAAACCAGCAAATCCAGAGAGAGAATCAATAATTTATTGTAAAAATTCAAGTTGATTTAAAGTCAGTCACGTGGAAGGAAAAGGCTGGGCCTCTGCGTGCCGCTCTGCAGCTGCTGAAAGTACAACACACACACACAAATAACCAGCTGTGTGTGTGTGTGTGTGTGTGTGTGTGTGTGTGTGCGTGCGTGCGTGCGTGCGTGCGTGG